GAGCGGCGCCGCGCCAGCCGGCAGGTCAGGTTGTGCAAAGAGGGATTTATAGGAAGAAAAAAAAAAAATTAAAAAGAAGAAAAAAAAAGAAAGTTTCCCTCGGAGAAAAGCTGGCCTTGGCCGCCCAAGAGGCTGAGGCCCGACGCTGCTCCCCCAAGTCAGGAAAACTCCCCCACGGATTATGCGTGGGGACTTTCTAGCGATAGGCGTTTCCCCCTCCATCATTTCCACGTCCCCTCGCTAACACGAGCCGAGGCCGCAGTGCGGGATGAAAGCGAAACTTCCCGGCCGGCCCGCTCACATCGCGGAGGGCCCGGTTTCCTTAGCGTTCTGCGGCAGCGAAAGTTCACATATAGTTTACATACCAGTGCGAAGGACCAAGGTGTCCCGTCGTCGCTAACTTACTGCAGCCTAACTTCAACTAGAAAATACGCCGCCTTTTTTTTTATTTCCCCCCCTGAACCAGACATATCTCTGCTTCCAAACGACTGCCTGCAGACCTTTACCGTGTTCACAACCCTTCCTTGCATTTATTCCTAAAAGTGCAGTCCTAAATCGGCAAATTAGGTGAGGGACCAAGTTTTGATCCCACTTTGAAATCAGAGCAGTTGTGCAACTAGGCAGACGAATGAAAGAGTATTTGTGTAGTTCTACTAACCTTCCTGCTTTAACATCCTCAGCCGTGGAAGGAAATGAAACGCGGTACATCGTTACCGAATTTAGACAGCCCTTTAAGAATACATGGCTGTATATGCTTTTCTGTGTGCATTCTTATAGATCATTGCACATCTACGCTCATGAATACACCACATGCATTTATTTTTAAAGTGGACAATAATTTAGAAACGTGATCTCTTAAGAGTTTTGCAACAAAAATATCAGCTTTTACAATCTCATCAACTCTTGGTTCAAACGGCTCCTCGGAGGGGAAAAACACACTCTCCCTCTGCCGTTGTTTAAATGCTGTTGCTACTATGTATATGTTTGTTTGTTTGTTTTTTTTTTAGTAGCGCAGAGAGAAGTAAAGGCAATTAGCAGCCCGAGGCTCCCGAGTTTGGAAACAGATTCAGAACCCAGGTCCCTGAAGATAGAGGGATCTTGAGTAGCTTTTTTTGTTTTTATCCTGTAGTTGCCGATGATTCTATTTAGATGGGGCAAGTAAGGAGCTTTTTCTGGTTTGTTTTACCTTTTTTTTTTTTTTCTTGCTGTGAGTGAGCCCCCTGTGCAAGGAACTGGGGAAAGTTCGTGACCACTCAGTGTTTTTGTAGGAAAACTAAGACTCACGACACGACGACTCCTGCAGCTTCCTGCCCTAGGAGGGACAAAAGCTCCAAACGCAGCACCGCAGAGCTCCCCTCATTTTTCACTGTAGACTGTGTTGTTTAAAAGCCACCCACTCCCTAGATTAAAGGAGACACAAGCCCCGCTGAACTCAACATGGCCTGCTTCAGTTATTGGCAAAAAGAATTTCCTCTCCAGTTAAATACTGTAGGATTTGCATAAACTATATTAAGAGAGATTTCTATATTAAGCAGACCTGCCCTCGAACCATCAGAGGCAAATGAACTTCTAGCAGAGAGCTTTCCGAGGCAGGAACAGATATCTAGGAGTTACATACTGGGTTTTAATAGAGCCAGTCTGCAACACTGTTTCCCACGTTCTGCTACTAAAACTAATAACTAAGCGGTAATAAGGTAAACTGCTCCCTACCAAATCCAAACTGTATTGTTGAAAAATCACAGAAACGGAAAAGAACTGAAAGCTTGTTTTGTTTTTTTTTTTTTTTAAGTAATTTCCAGAGTGCTTGCTGAAACTGAACTTTCTCAAAGATCAGCATTAACAGCGTTTTTCTGCCTTGAGAACAAAAATCGTAACTGAGCCTTTGGCATTCTGTAGCCATTCCCAGTCTGCTCGGCTTTACTTTCTTGTCCTGTAGCATTTGCAACAAAAAGGAAAGCACAGAATGGGACGTCTTTTTGCTTAGATTTCATTCAGAAAACTGCTTTCTTTGACTCCCTCTCTAACATTCTGTGTGTTTGCAGGTGTGTGTGTTTGTGTGCATGCGTACGTGTGTATTTGTGGCAGGAGAACACAGGAGCTCACCATCCGAGGGCAATAGATACGGGAGGGGAGCGGTGCCCAGTGCAGATTAAGGGAGTTCTCGTTACTGAAACGATAACTTCCATCTGACACAATAAGAGTGTCACTCTTTCTCACCTTGCAGAGAGAGCTGCCTGTTTCTGATCATGACATAAAATACTCACTGGAGTCTGGGCGTTCTCGAAACACTGAGCCTCCTTGCTGTGTGTGCTGTAGATGTCACTGCTGTCTGATTGTGCTTGAATTAACACACTGTTTTGACTTCTGGAAAATGCCTAACGGACAATGCAAAAAGCTTTTGTGAATTTGTTTTTAAAGAAAGAAATCCGGTTTCTTCGTGTTTCCATTTAGAAGGCAGAGAGTGTGTGAACTGTGGAGCAACTGCCACCCCTCTCTGGAGAAGAGACGGCACCGGGCATTACCTGTGTAACGCCTGCGGGCTCTACCACAAAATGAATGGTCAAAACCGACCTCTCATTAAACCTAAACGAAGGCTGGTAGGTGTCTCTCTTTCTCCTGGGTTTGGGGATAAATTAGGCAAAGGGACCACACGCAGGCACCAGTCAAACATGTCTCATCTCTGCTTAGCCCCTGCGCGGAGCTGAGCTGCGCTGTACGTGGGGCTCAGTCACGTCGAGGTCACTGCCGTGCCTCGGGGCAGATCTCCCAGCCCCAGCAGCCCCGGCACAGACCACCACAGACCACCGCGCCGCCGAGCGCGCCTCTGTCCCAAGCCTCCCTGCTGCTCACAGTACATGCAGGATATCGAGTATCCGTCTCCCCGTTTATCCTCGGATGACAGCTTTTAATTTAATTCCTCATTTATTTGGCCTCTTGGGACGTTTTGGGCACATACCAGGAGCGAAAGGGTTATGAGCGTGAATGTCCTCCGCCGTGTACTAAAAAAAAGTTCCAGCTCCAAAAAAGCAAAACAAATCAGATGAGTCAAAGCTACTGCTCCCTACTTAATAATTATTTGTATAAAAGCCATGAAGTAATTTTCACTCTTATATTCTCTGGCAATATTAATATTGGTTCCCTCCCCAGACAATCCCCTACTGTTTAAAAAAAAAAAATTCCTCTTATTTTTCCATGGAGTCACCTATACTTTGTATTTTCATTTGAGTGATTAAAAAAAAAAAAAAAATGTCCTTTCTAAGCTCCTGGTAGTAGTTTCCTATCCGGATATCTGTACGTTAAAGATAAGGAAACTTTGTGTATCTGTTTCCTGACTCTAAAAGCCTTAGAGAGTTTCTATAGGCAAGCCTTGCCAGTCATGCTTGCTGTTTTGAAATTTCTAATACACTCCGCTCCACAAATAATGCGTAAAACGCTAAGAATAATAAATATATTTTTTTTGAGCTTTGTGATTTATGGTGCCTAAGTCTTTTAGCTATTCGTGGGCACGTTTCAAGGAGGCTTGGAGAGGAGAAAATTGTCATTACTGCTCTAACACTGGGATGGGATACAGAAGATTTCTGTCGTGAGTCAGAATTTCAACTATGCAAGCTTCTTAATGACTTGCCTTCTAAAGTGACTGACATATAGAAAAATGTTAAGACAACAGTGTAACATTATCGTCTCTTGGGCTCAAGTGCTTTCCAGTCTGAATGGGACAGGCCACAGAGTTAAGCAGCATAGTTGAATATCAGTAAGCCATCTCAAATATGCAAACATAGGTCTCCACCTTCCAGTGTGTTGGGAGACTGTTACACTTAACTCACTGTGCGGGGTTTGGGGGGCACTAGAGGGGTTTTCTTTTAGTTTAGTTGTTTTAATGTTTTGCTTTAATTGATTTACAGCTTTGTTTATTGCCCCTTTTTCCACTGTAGTTTGCTTGTTTGCGGGGGAGAGGAGATGGCCATCTTTGGGAATTTGTTCATCTGACATGCAATAGCAAAGCGATCATATTAATAATGTCAGCGTTTGGAAGTCTGGCATTAATTGTGTTTGGGTTGCATGAGTGTACTTGCAGTAGGGGGTAGCCCCTCTTTCTGCCTTTGGCCTGTTCTCGCAGGCAAGTAAGGGACTGAAATATATGAGTCTCCGAGGGCCTGATTCTTGCCTTAAGCTGCGGAGCCGTCCGTCAGCTTTGGGAAAGTTACAGAGGGCCATGGTGTAAACCAGGAGCAAGTGGGAACAGCACCCGGTGCTCCTCTTTTGTGAGGCGGGTGGGTCTGTGCTTCCAGCAGCATCAGCTCCACAGCGGAGCCGGCCCACAGGGGAGCACACAGAGTTCTCCTCTGGGAAACACGCCGCTGCGGGACTCTGCTCTCTGCTCACGGAGATGCCCCGCACACTAGCGCAAGCTTCCCTGCTGCCTCACCCCATGGCTTTTGTGGCTAATTGCAAAAATATCCAGGGAGCAAGGCCCTGGGGAAATTACCACGATTGATATGCATTAGAATATAAACTCTACTAATTTAAGAAAAGAAAATGTAGAGTCCTCAGCATTAATCCAATTGCACAAAATGGACTGCATTTTGACCACTTCCAGAGGCAGGGCTGAAGCTTTCTAATACAAAATTATTTCCCAAAATATGGGGTGCGATTAGTCCCTCCGTAACACTTTATACGATACCCTGCTTGCACAAAGAACATATTATTGTGGGGTCTGCTAGACAAGGGCCCATCCAGAAATTACTGGCTGCCCGCTGTTCTACTTTTCCTGTTCTTGTTTTGGGAGGTGGGTGAATGTTGGGGCATTTTTCTTTCCCTCCACCTTGGTTTCAGCAGAACAATAGTTTTAGGAGAGGGTGGTGGATTTTTTTTTTCTCTTTTTAAGACAGTTGTTTGAGGGCTTGTCAGCCAAGGAACTGAGTAGGGACAGAGGCGGCAGACGGGTCGGGTCAGTGGAATCGTTGCTGCAAGGCATGAAATTTGGTTTGCTAAATATTTAAAGAAAGTTGGAGCCGGGTTTTGTTTTCTCCCTTTCACTTGTAAATGGAAACTGAATTTTCAGTGATGGCTCTGATAAATACTGCACCCAGTTAAGTAATGCAGTTGGTTTTCTTTTGTGTCCATCTTTAAAGGGCCAGAGTAGGGGTAAAAATCACATTCTTTACGATCATTCCCTCTTTTCAAACCCAGTCCCAACATTGGCATAAACTAAATCGGTCATTAAAAAAAAAAAAAAAGGCAAATGCATTTTCATGACGCATTCTAGAATCCTGAAAAGGGAAAACCTGGACAAATCAGATGATTCCCCCTCTAAAATTTTTGTCTGTGGAGTTCGAGATGCGTTCATTCTTTCCTTACTTCCCCTGCTCACACGGTGCCATGGAGCTTGAAGCTGCAGTCACACAGGAGAATACTTGAATTTAAACAAAAACCTAAATTCAACAGCACCAAATGTAAAACCGACAGGAACTTTCCTTCAGCCCTGATGCTCTGCAAAATCTAGTAACTAGTTCTACCCAACCTAAATATTGAGTACAAGTTGACCTTTCTCATGATCTCCCTCCTCCTGCCGATACGTTTTTAATTTTCTTTTTCTTTTGGTTAGTCAGCGGCTAGGAGAGCAGGGACTTGTTGTGCCAACTGTCAGACAACCACCACGACCTTATGGCGACGTAATGCAAACGGGGACCCGGTTTGTAATGCCTGCGGACTCTACTATAAATTGCACAATGTGAGTATTTACTCATCTCATGTGTCGCTGCTTGCCTGGCTGGGATTGATGTCTTAACTGCATGGTGTACACTAGGCTTTTATTAGTTTCAGGGTTTTGGTTGTTGTTTTATTCCTTCCCCCCGTCTCTAAGGTTCCCCTGGGAAGTGACAGCCATTCTTTGTCAGCATAGTGATGCTAAGTTCAGTGACATTACAATGTATTAGCTTGGCTTCTAACGCTTGGGCAAATCAGGCAAAATAGAGCTACCACACTTGGTTTTAACTAAGCGTGTTTTGTGTGCCATTTCCCTCCAGAAACACAGAGGCCATTTGGAATGGCTCTGTGCAAAAATTAATCCTGGTGGGGCATCTTCATTCAGATTTTTTTTTTTTTAATAATTATATCTAAGGCTTTATTTTGTTGTTGTGTGGTTTGGGTTTTTTTTTTTTTAAATTAATCCTAAGCAGGAATCGCTTGACATGTTGGAACATTATTTAAACTGTAAGTAACAGAGGTTACTGGTACAAGATTGCTCATGTCTTAGGACTGAATTTGGGTCAATGTGTGCCTCCTAGTTTGATCTCTTCTATTAGGAAATGAATGAGGACTGAGGGTAAGCCTACGGGAAAGAGCGTCATCAGCTGCCAAATTCAGTTCAATTTGTTTTTCATGTCTAGGGGTTTTTTGTGTGTGTGGTTTTATTAAACAAATCAATATAAACAAGTTCTGCAGAGAGAAACACCATTTTCTTTGGCCAGAAAAAGGTCTCCATCCAGGAAAAACACATGGGGGCTGTCCAAATATTTTCATTTTTGCACAATAAGGTCACTTTGTCTGCATGAGCCTGATTTTCTCATTTCTTGCAGGTGAACAGGCCTCTGACCATGAAAAAGGAAGGAATTCAGACCAGGAATAGGAAAATGTCCAACAAATCAAAGAAAAGCAAGAAAGGCTCTGAGTGTTTTGAGGAACTGTCCAAGTGCATGCAGGAGAAATCGTCTCCCTTCAGCGCTGCTGCCCTTGCTAGTCACATGGCACCCATGGGGCATTTGCCACCTTTCAGCCACTCTGGACACATCCTGCCAACACCTACCCCCATCCACCCATCTTCCAGCATCTCATTTGGACATCCACACCCATCCAGCATGGTTACAGCCATGGGATAAAACCTGATGACCAAGAGACCCACCCAGAGATTAAGAACATGGGGCTTTGCCTAAGGTGACACCACATAAGAAAACGTTCTGCCAAGAGGAGAATGTAGGGATGGCAAAAGGGGATCTTTGCTCCCATGTGGTTTAACTCTTAATGCTGGACTAAAACCGTGCAAATGATGGGTCTTCGGCAGAAACAGTGTGGTGGTGCCTGTAATGCACTTTGCCCCCTCAGGTATAAGGAAAAATAACTCACCTGTTCAATAATCAATGGTCCAGCGGGAAGCAAAAGGTGGCAGAAGCTGAAGAAAAAGGCTTGGAACTGGCTTTCCTTTCTCTCTTTGTTATTACTGTGAATATTGTAAAGAGATATAAGCAGCCTCCCAGGATGGAATCGGCTCACTGGAAGCCAGACATGCTGGATTTCTATCACGGATTTTGTTTGGGATGGGGAAAAAAAAGAGAAAAAGGAAAAAAAAAAAAAAAAGAAAGAAAAAAAGAAAAGGACATCTTTATAAAAACGTAATTTTTAAAATGGAATCAGACACAAAGTCATATTTATTTTGCTCTTGTTTTCCACAAAAAGCCTCAACCCCTCTGATTGCATGTTTTTGTGCTGTTGTTTGCAATGGCTACCCTGTAAGAGAACCTGCCTTCAAAACAAGGAGGAGGAGGGGGAAACATTCAGCGATCCCCTTGGATTAGCTCCATCTATCTTCCATACCAAAATATCTACTAGGAAGGGGGAAAAGACTTGGTGGGGGGGGGACACGACACGGACACACATGACAAAGCAAAAATGTAGTTGTAATACAGGATTTTAATGTGCCCAAGATGGTGGTTATTTTGACACAACTTCTTCATTCTTTTCTCTAACATGAAAGATTTATTTTAAAAAACCAGCCCCCCTCCCAACTACCCTATTATTCCTCAAAACAGAAAGCTCGATCCAACAAACTGTTCGGAAAAAAACTCTCGGGAAGGCAATCCTGCACTGGCCAGGGGTGAGATGATACAGGCATTTACCAAAATGTCGCAGCTAACTTCTAGCACAGCAAAAAAATATCACAGGGCATAAAAACATCTAACTCGCAGACTTTAGAGGTTGAAGCATTTTGTTCTGTTGTGTTGGCAGCTGTCGCTTAAAAATGCAGATTAGCTGCTTGGGTAAACTTACGGCAGTGTGGCCACCACGTCCACACGCAGCCAGCCAGCGCGTGTGCTGTCTCAGGCATCCAGGCCCCAGTGGACTTCACAGGGAGGAAGGGCAGAAATGAGGTTTGAGATCACTGGAGAGGGGAAAGAGAGAGACAATCAGTTTGAGCTTCACACATCCGTCAAATCCCAGACACAGCGACAGCTGATGAGATGAGGGAAAGCATCGTTCTAAGGGGAACGTCCGTTTTCCATAGCGTATTTTATATGGAAACAAAAAAAAAAAAAGAAAAAAAAAAGAAAAAAATTAAATCTCCCATTATTAAACCATATTGTACGTAAATGACCGAAAACAAAGCTATTACCAATGTGAAGTGTATTCTATTGATTGTTATGAACTGATGCCTCTCATGAACACAAGCTCCAGTATAACATACAATGTACATATTTAGCTATACTTCTGATGAAAATGCCCCAATGAACAGAGGGGTTTGATAATGTAAACCACATAAGCTTAACTCTGTGACAAGCTTTTTAATTTTTTTTTTTTTTAATTTTTAACTTTTTTGTTGTTGGGGTTTTTTTTGTTTTGTTTTTTTTTTTGATCAAGCCAATTGTATCTTTACTGCAAAAGTCCTGCTTTACAGAAAAAAAACGAAACAAAAAAATGGATGTACATGAATTTTTTTTCTAAAGATGTAATTCAAATATTTGATAATGAATTAAGAACCAAGCAGCCATGAAAATCCTGCCTTCCTCCTTTTTCTGGTCTGCGTAGGCATATAGGTGCACTTTGTAAAGAAGTGGAAATAAATGGGAAACTAAATTGGTTGGGAGAAATCATAAGAATTTTTAATCTACTGAGGTAAAAAATTGGGTCCTTTTTACTTTTTACCTTTTACAATGGTACAGTTGTACATTATTTGTACCCAACTCAATTTTCTGTAGGATTTGGGCAGAGGGGCCAGGAAGGGATGTGGGTGGAAGACAGGGATTACTGATACAGTTGACAAAGTGCAATATATTGTCAGTCACTGCAGCGTAGACAACGGCAGTTGAGATTTAAATTATTTTGTACTTGTATCAGCATAAAAAAAATCTGCAGTATTTTCTGTTTTTATTTTAATTTTTTTATTTTGCTTATTTTTGGATTAGTGAACTAAGTTATTGTTAATTATGTACAACATGTTTATATATTGTCTGTAAAAAGTGTACGCTTTCCTCATATTCCTTCAAGGTGAATATTGCTAAGAATAATAAAATACCTTTTTTGTGAAAGTACCTGTGCCCAGCTTCATGTCGTAAAGGCTGCTTTGCTTTAAATAGGGAGAGGAAAAATTATCGTCGGCATTGTTGCCGGTAGAATTATTATCTTAAACTTTATGCAGAGCGGTCTATTGATATTTCAAAAACCTACCAAGGTAGGACAAAAAAAGAGGTTGGTGAATGATTTAGTATAAAAAGCACAGGTACAAAAGCTTATTCTCCCAGTGTCATTTTGGGGTGACGAGGTCACACAGTTAAGTGCACTAAAGTTTCTAAACCAGTTTGAAATCTAAGGCAGCAGCCACATTGCAGATGATGAACTGCGGTTTCTCTAGGCTTTTTTGTTGGTTTTTGGGTTGGTTTTTTTTTTTAAGTGTTTGGAGAAATGGTTTTCAATTAAAAACAAGTTTTGAAAGCACCGTAAACCTGGAAAAGCAGCCATCTGCCTAATGGTTTTCAAGGCAGGGCCTGTATTAGACCGGGCAAAGTTCTCCGTAGATTCTTGCACTGCTGTAAACAGGCAGCACCGTCAACATGGAAACCAGTTTCTTACCATTTGGCATCATCCGTGGGGTGAAGGGAGCAGGGGGGATGGCCAGCCCAGAGCTCCTCACTGCTGTCCTGGAGCTGCTGACAAAGGGTGCAGCCATGGGTGCGGGGGGATGCGCACGCGGGCTGGCACGTGAGGATGGAGAAGAGTGCTTACCAGGCAGCTCTCACATGGCCAAAACTTTGCGCTGCTTTCATCACACAGTCGAGTCTGACCCATGCAAAGAACTCATTGGGGCCTTACAAAGTCTTGCAAAGTCCCTCTGCCATGTGTTGGGGTGAGTGCTGCTGCTATTAAAACAGTATTTTCAAGAAAACTGCTAGTGAACTTTGGATTTCCTCCTTTGATCCCCCAGGAGTTGCATCTCATTTCTGTGGAAACCAACTTGGGGTAACTACTTACTCATTAAGAAAAAAAATAACCTGAGTTCCTTTTTCAGCATGCGTGTGTGCAAATTCCAGCCCTTTCTGCCACTGCTTCTCTTTAACCATGCAGCCTCCTCCCCAGCCCTGTTTGCAAGCCCTGCTCACGAATGACAAGGAGTCACAGCAGCTCTGGATGTGCTGAAGAAAGCACATGCAACCAGGACGAGGCCTTCCCGCATCATTTCAGACGAGTTAATCATCTCTCTAACTTGTTTAGCGAGGCTTAGTGCAAACACCCATTAAAAATTAAAAAAAAAAAAAGGCAGTTTATAGCATACCATGCAAGCTTCATTTAAAAAGAAACATGTTTGTTTTCAGACAGGTTTAAAACGGGATTATAACTAAACTCAGACGCTCTCCATATTTGAACAGCTAAAACGAGGAGGGAACGGAAGAACTAACATCATCACTTTCAAATAATTCAGAATAATCAAATTATTTGCTTTGGTTGCACATTACACACCCACTCAGACTTTGCTGAGGGCTTCCCTTGGTGCTGTCTCTCTGCAGGCATTTCGCCGAGTCGGTCCGATCCGCTCGCAGAATCAGGGCTGTAATCCATCAGCTTGTCAGGAGGGGTGCTGCAGCCTCCCAGCGCCCGGAGGAGCGTGCCTCTTCTGAGTGGGGTCTTCAGTGGTTCCTGCAACACAGATAACAAATAATCCCGTGTTTGTCAGGTGACACTAATCTGTGAAAGATCAAACCATCTCTCTGCAACGTGTGTATCGTGTTTGTCTCCAGACATTTTGCATAGCGGAAGAAAAACAAACAGCAGGGAATGGAAATGGAGCAAGTATGTAAAGTTCAACGTAAAGTGTAAGCACAGAGCAGATATTGAGGCAACAAATTGGGATTTACGGTCCTTTCACTACCACCAAAGACTGGGGGACAGGCTTTTTGTGAGGGGGGAACCCTGACATTACTTGCCTTTGGTTCCTGTTGTTGGGATTATTGTTTTAAGCCCTGCTTAATTGTCATGTCTCCACGGCCACATCAAAAGCCAAGAAGATTAGGTTACAGGGAGTGTTTGATGTCAAAATACAAAATAAATAAAAGGAAAGCTGAAAAGGTACTGTATTTTCCATGATGTCTAGTGAGGTTTTTGCCTCAAACATCTCTTCTATTTTTTTTTTTTAATTTTGCAAAGGTTGCACTTTTAGTGACAAGATTTCATTTACTTACTTCCAAATGACTTCACTGCTTTCCTGCAACAGCTCGAAAGGGTTAATATCCCCTCTTTGATGGCAAACATGGTATAATTAACGCAAACTTCTTAAGTATCCTGGTGACCTGTAGATGGCCACATGAGAATTTTGTTATTTACTGACTTGCCAAACGTTTATTGCTTATAGCAGGACAAGTGGGAAGCAGGCATTAATTTTGATGCTGTTATCTGTGATTGCGTGTAAAGTTCATAGCAGAGACTGCCTATATGTCAACTGCAATTAAACATTTCCCTATTTTTTTTAATGAATTTCACGCTGGTGGAGGGGGTTGGACTGGCAGCTTTGCAAACTGAAATCCTGCCCATCCGCAGAGCAGGCATGACAAAGCCAGACACAGGACAACTTCCCCTTACCTGCAGGCTGCGAAAGAAAACAGTCTGGCGCCATGGAGCATTTGATCCTTGGCTTCTCCACAGAGACAGTCAAATCAGTACCAACTGTGGCAGGGCACAGAGGGAGATTTTCTGGTGTGACATCTCCCCTTGGAAACAAGCCTGAAAAACACCAAAAATGAAGCCAAAAGTGGCTATCAGGTGAATATGTTCATTTATCACCAACCTGGACTGGATTAGAATGCGTGACCCAGAAGTAAAATGCTTTGTTTAGCCCAACTCCCTGGGCCATCTGGTCCTCACAAGTAAACATTTCTAAGTGAGATTAAGTGACTGTTTTTTAAGCATGGTGATATGAGTGCAAACCAGGCTGCTTTGGATCTAACAGATCAAACCTCAGCATCAGGGCAGCCAGCGGGTGCCGATTCAGAGACACCATTTGCTTGAGCAGCTTTGGGTGCAATTCTCTGCGGTGCTGGCTTTGCAGTCAATCCTGATTCAGTCTGAGGTGTCCCTGTCAGATCCAGAGCTCGCCCTGACAAGGTGCTGTTGGGAGGTCGAGGGCCCCATCAGAGGAAACTTATGGGAGAGACTGCAGTAAGAACTACGCTGCATTTGCAGTAAGAACTAAGTGACATTTCTGAGCACCAAAAGCTTGGCTGAGCAAAAGGCAATCGCAGGGTAGGACATACAGCAGAAAAAACATCTAGCAGGTAGTAACACAATAGAGAACTAACCCCTCCTTCAGGGAAAGGCTTTGACATACCACCGAGGGAGGGAACAGCTACTGTTTGGTCTATAAAAA